GCAGTAGCAGCAGTAGTAGTAGTAGTAGTAGTAGTAGTAGTAGTAGTAGTAGTACAAGTACGTGTATCAGCAGCAGCAGCCTAGTAGTCGTAGTAGTGGTAGTAGTAGTAGTAGTAGTAGTAGTAGTAGCCCTAGACTTACCAGCATTGCCGGCACAAGTATTAGTACTAGGATGTGGAGGAGGATGAGCAGGAGGAAGAGTGCAAACCACATGCAGTAGTCAAGCGATTGCCCAGGACAGGCGCTCGGTGATCGCGAGGAGCATCAAAAGGGAGGACAAGCGGGGCGGTGAAGAGCTTCGTATCCAGGTGCCTGTGCTGTTTTTGAGGCGTGTTTTAGTGCCGCAGTCTTCTCTCGAGATTAGGGTGGAAGCAAGCGGCGCTTGCTGCATTGAAATCTTCGGTGACGATTACTCCTTGACTGCCAGGTCTCACCGCAGCATGACGCAGTCCTTATGCTTGGTTGTGTCTTGGGCATCATTCTGCTGGAGCCCGAGATGATGAAGATGGCCATAGCATGAGAGGCGACGCTAGCGACTAGTGACTAGTGCTGTCTCTCTTCGTACAGACAGATCTTAGGTGCATGTTCACCTGACATGTGCATGCGTTACGTCTGCTGCTACTGGCGAGCTCGTCGAAAAATGGCACTGCCAATCGCTCCGGAGGAGCTTTGAACACGGTTTCAGCTTTGAGGGACAATTAGTTTGAAGATGTTGTGACAGGTTCGGGTTCTAGTTAGGTTTCGAACAGGAAGACGCCGAAGGCAGGCAATAGCCCGTTGCAGTGGCGCTTCTTCTCGCCGCCGACATCGTACGGAGAATCGCGTGAGGTGCTGGGCACCAGCTGCTACCCCCTTTGCCGCAACCTCAGAAATCAGACGGGGGGCACAGCATTTCACCTCCCTCGACAAAGTCCTGCGATCTTTCTTTCGGTCTTGAATGGCACTGGATGCATCATAAACCCCGAGCCTTACCTCCGATTTAGCTGCCATCAGCATTACGGCAATGGTAGAAACCCCCTGAACAAAAGAGCCATCATAAACTTGCGGCCCTGAGGTCTTTACAGCCCAATGTAAATCTCTAAAAACCCAGTGACGATGAACAGGTTCTTTTGGAAGCTCGATGAAGCCACCGAACCCCAAACCCCAAATGCCAAAACCGTGAATCCTAAAACTTTCAACTCTCATCCTAAGGTCCGTAACCCGTAGGCTTCAAGCTAAAAGCCATCAACCCCACAGCCCTTAACGAAAAGCCACAAGCACCCGACACCCCAAACCCACCGAAACCTGCCTGCGCCCGATGTAACTGTAACTTACCCTGCGAGAGGAAGGAAGTCGCATTACAGGGGCCCTGACAATGATCAGAATTAGGTATTTATAGGCTTAGTTTAATCGTTGAGTAACATTTACGATCGAATATAGGGGCCTAAATAATTACCTACACTATTTTTTTTTGGGGGGGGTTCCTTATTATACTTATAGTACAATATACCCCAAAACCCTTTTCTAATTATTAAGGCCCCCTATATTAGGGAAGCACGCTTGTCATTATGGTAGCTTGAGCTAGGTTCCACCGCCCCAGGCTGCTGTCGTCGGTGGCCTCACCAGTCGGCAGGGCCCTCAATGACTAGGGGAGCTGGAGGCCAACTGTTTGGGGATTCTATGTAATGTAGGGGCCTTCATGATTAGAATAGGGTTTTGGGCCCCTTTATAGTATGATCATAACAAGGAGCCCTAACAGTAATATTGGTAACTATACAGGCTTCTATGTTGCAGTGGTTCCATAGCGGTCTTATCGGCCCTTATTACTTATCGGCTTTTAGGATTCTAGGGTTTAGGGTAGGGCTGTAGGGGTTTTGCTATTTAGGGGGGCTTTGGGATTTGCGGTTCAGGGCAAGAGGCCTGTGAGTGCTTTTTTTCGGGGTTTCGGACTGCATCCTTAGCTTCCCTGCTCGAGGGCGCAGAGTTTTGGCAGCTGAAGCCCAGGCTCAGATCCTAGAATCTGCGCCAAACCTACCGCTAAGTGTAACTGAACACCTTTCTGCACACCCATTCCTATAAAGCCTTCTGAAAGCCCCCAAGTATGACCCTGTCAAGTTGTGGGCTGAGGGCTCCATGACCTGCACGCATGGGGGTTTCCGGAAATAGGGGAACCTAATATAGTACCCTAAATAATAGGGACCTTATTATAAGGACCCCCAAATAAGGTACCCCCTATTTTCGGAAACCCCCGCATGAAGGTCCTGACAGCACGGCGGTCATGAACGCTGTCTGTGCAGCCGCGCAGGTCTCCCGAAGAGCGAGGAGTAAGAAAACCCAAAGCTCTAAGATGGTTTCAGACAGAAGGGTTTTCATGAGGTTATAACCGTGGGGGAAACCTATGTGGTTTTACAGTTTGTGGCAGAGTCTAGTCTAGTGATTTGGCCATGCCTCCGCCGCGCCCGATAGGCGCGCTCGGCGGTTCCGCGGCTCCCGCTTTGGCGCGCTGAATCACACTCGTTCTACGGTCCCCCTCGCACCCGTCAAGTCTTTCTTATATCCAGCATGTTGGTGCTCCCCATCTTGCGAAATCCCGCTGCTAAAGTGCCCGGCGGGGACATGCTCGGCTCTCGAGACGGTCCTGTGCTCATTTTTTGCCTTCAAGTCGCTCGACTTCGCGAAGTGGGTATGGTCTCGTATTCCCGTGCCGTTGTCAGAAGAGGTGTGGGATTGTTGCGAAATTCGGACCTTGCCTGGATTACGAGGTGCTCAAGGACTGTTAGGAGTTTACGCTTGTCTAAGATGTTTTTACCTTCGAAACCGAAACCCTACGCTCCTAAAGTGCCCAACAAGAACCCCATACCTCTGAACCTTAATTTAGGTTCTATTGTCCGAGCTGAACAAGTGTGGTGCGATTGAGAGACTTCCGTGTTCGGCCGAGCGAGGTTCAAGGCTTGGGCTTTTGAGTTGCAGCAGGCTTCAGGCTTGGTTGTCTGCCTTGTGACTGGGCATGTGAGCTGGAAATCACAGACAGAGACGCTGATCTTGAAGTCGCTGGCAGGCAGCTGCATCAGCAGCGGCTGCAGCCGCCGCTGTTTTGCCCGTTGCAGCTGCAGGCCCGTACCTGTCCAGCCCATGTGGTGGATCTAAAGCCGTCCCGCTTCCAGGCAGCTTTCCCCTGGCCCCGGCTGACACTGCCGAAGGTTGGCTACGGCTAATGTAGGGGCCTAAATAATTACCTATACTATCTCAGGGTTCTTTATTATAATTATAGTATAATGGGCCCCAAAACCCTATTCTAATTATTAAGGCCCCGATATTACCCTCGTCACCAGTACATGCAAGTGAAGGGCCTGGTTGCAGGGAGAGAAACTATGAACGGATGCACTGCATGCCCATGAAGCACACGACACGCCAGTCCCAAGGCATAGGCTCAGAGCACTGGGCTTTTCTTGCGCCCTTATGGAGCAGAGAAATTCTCATGCGTGAAGGTCCTCGAACACCGCCCCGACAGCGGCCAGGCGGAACACCTTGTGGAGAGGGCACTGGTAGGAAGCGCGCTTCGCGGTTAACACTGAAAGATCGACAGCCATTCAGGGTTGCGGGCGCTTGAAACAGAACTGCTTCCTCTCTTCCAAACTGCTGCGCGGTGCCGAGACGGTTCGAAACCAGATCCGAAGCCTCACTGGCTGCAGGACGTCCTGCAGCACGTTGGCACGGTGTACTTGGAAACAACAAACCAGCAGAACCATGAATATGATCACAATCAAGTTACCAGACAGCCCCAGTGGAGATCAGGGATGACGAAAATGCCGTCGTTGCTGACGAGAATGATGCTAATGCTGGTTGTGATGGTGGCTTTAAAAATTGATGACTCGGATGGTGGTGATGAAGAGCATCATGATGATGATCTTGGCTGGTGACGATGATGGTGATGATGACGATGCTGACCCTTTTTCGGGTCACCACGATAATCATGATGGTGGTAACATGATTCTCAGTAGAAATATGCGGCCACCAGCTTCGCCCAAGCAAGCCTACAGTCTGGCAGGTAAAGTCGACCGTGAGTCCAAAAGCCGAGAGCCCAGTGAAGAATCATGAAGGATCAGTAAGAATCACGGTCGTCATTATCTTATTGCCTTGAAGTTTCTTGAAATATGTCTTTTTCTCTATACACAGTATATCTAATCGATATAAAATATTGTACGCATGTTTGTCTTTATCGGAGTACAGATATTTGCTGCGTTTCCACAGTTGCAGACGACCTTGGTTTAACGCCCAACGTCGCATTGTACAGCGAGAATGATACGAGCTGTATGAACTTGTTGAACAGTTCTGGCTGGTCGTTTTTGTCCAGCTGTAGCTTCCTGGCAGTTCCACCTCACAGTGCGTTGACAATACGTGTCACGGTCAGAGATACCGTCGTTAGTCCGCATGCTGTCCGTGTTCCATTTGCCTCACCTTTTACAGTTCTGTGCTATGGCCTTAGCACCAGGGGAAGAATGGCATCGAGTTGAACGCAATCCTCCATGGATCCCTGAACCCGAAAATCGTAGATGTCGACGCCCTGCAAGATCTGGCCCAACTGTTCAACCCACCACAACTCGACACCTTCAACCTCATGCAACTAAACCCTAAACCCCAATTCCGATTCTTCCAAACCCGAAGGATTTCAGTGAAGAGCCCGAAAGCCTAACACCCCGACACCCTAAACCCGAAACTCTGAACAAACACAGGAGCCCTCAGCATAGTAGCGTTATAGAAAGCCTTCGAAGTCACCCTTGTAGTAACATAGGAGCCTTAAAATTAGAACAGGGTTTGGGGGTAGATTATACTGCAATTGTAATAAGGAGCCCCCCAAACCCTTTTCTAATCATTAAAATCCCCTACATTAACACGGATCAGCCCCAGTTTTGTCCATGGGACGTTGATGGCCCAAACCCTAAACCCTAAGCCCTAAACCCTAAACCCTAAACCCTAAACCCTAAACCCTAAACCCTAAACCCCAGGCCCCACCGTCCTCTCTTTGGCCAGCCTGGCTCCCGGGAGGGAAACCTTAAGGTCGATCTCGGCGGTCGTGGGTGTTGGGGAGTTTGGGACTTAGGGTTTAGGGTTTAGGGTTTAGGGTTTAGGGTTTAGGGTTTAGGGTTTAGGGTTTAGGGTTTAGGGTGTTGGGGAGTTTGGGACTTAGTAAGTAGGGTTATAAATAGGGTAACTAAGATTATAAACCCAATTAGGGTACTTATAACTTATAACCTTACTTACTAAGTCCCATGATCCTCCAAGTGGGTGTTGGGGAGTTTGGGGTGAAGGGGAGCAGGAGAAAGCTCTAAAGACAGACGCCACTTGCAGAACCAACTGTTTCTCAGAGGTGTCTTCGTCGTCTTCTTTTTTAGGGTTTGGGGCGCTGTTGCTGAGTCTTTTTTTTTTTTTCCGATTTTGGTGGTTCAGGGCTTCTTTCAGGGGATTAGGGCGACCGGTAGGGGTCAGCTCGAAGTTCTCAAGCCGTACTTCATTCCCCGTAACTCCGAGCAGGAGCAGTCTAGCTTTGTCCCTGCCGCAGGTATGGGAAGGTATGGGAAGTGTCAGGCGCCTTCAAAGCTTCAAAACAACTTAGGGTGTAGGGTTTAGGGTTTAGGGTTTAGGGTTTAGGGTTTAGGGTTTAACCGCCCTCAAAGCCCAAACTCCCACTACATGAGCCTTACGGCCTTAAAGTAATGAGAAGGAGCAGCCCCAAAACCGTCGGCCAGCCCGCGTCAAGCCCCAACAGCACGAGCCAAGAAGGGTATCGGTAGAAGGGTAATAGGGTTTGGGGTAACAGGGTTCACAGGGCTCAGGTTTCCAGCCTTGGGCCCCTAAACCCTAAACCCTAATCCCTAAACCTTAAACCCTAAACCCTAAACCCCTTAAACTCTAAACCCCAAACCCTAAACCCTAAACCGTAAACCGTTTGGGCCTTAACAGGTGCATTGACTTCGGTGCAGACCCCACCACCCATGGAGCCTCGGAAGAGAGCTCCGTCAAGGTGAGGGTTTAGCGCTCGAATGTCGAAGTTCATCGCAAATTCTCACAAGGGTTGCCAAAGAGGGTTTAAGGGTTTAGGGTCGAGGGTTTTGGGTTTAGGGTTGGCCGCATAGGGTTTTGGAGTATGAGGGGATTTCGTCATCAGGCGGTGCGGGTATGGACAAGGTAAAGAAGGAGAGCCTTTGCGGTTTCTGGTTCGGTTGAGGTGCTAAGAATTCAGGGTCAGCGCGACAGTAGACCCTAAACCCTAGGGTTTAGGGTTTAGGGGTAGTATGGTTTTTGGGTGTGGTTGCGAGCTTTACGAGTTCAAGCTTTGCTTTATCTGAAGCTGCTGTTTTGCGATGATTGTTAGTAGTACTTGCTTGCTAGTGTCAGGCTGATTCGGGTTTGCTTTCCGGTGAAGTGACTGTAGCTCGTCGCGGGCTTTGGATGTCAGAGAGTTACACCGGGGGATAGTTGGACTTGGTATGTTTAGTGGGTGGTAAGGTTTACCCAACACATCCAAATATCCTGAGGGTTCCTTACTACAGTTATCCAGAACAATAAACCACAAAATCCTCACACTTCTTCAGGCGTCTTTATTGCCCAAACCCCTCAGTCATTGACCGTTTGCAGGGAGTCA